TGGACAAAGAAGGTCCAAGGGCTGATTGAATCAGCCCTAGCATCTCAACATGCCTCCTTTAGGCAAGAGATAGAGCAAATGGAAGTCAGGTACACCCAGCTCATAGAGAAATCTGAAGGAAAACACAGCGCAGATCTCAAAGAAATAAGCAAATCAGTGCACAAGACTCTGGAGATTATCTCTCTATTGAGTGGAACTGTGAGCAACACGATGGAAATATATGCCTCTGACAGTCAACTTCAACTCAAAGAGATCAACAAAGTCAAAGAGCAAATAGCGAGTGTCATAGTTAGTCTCCAAAAACAGATGTCCCTTCTCCAAATGGACATCAGATCAGCCCTAGCAGTAGCTTCTGCAAATCAGGTAGTGACCAAAGACTACTTGAAGGTGATCATTGACAATCAAAAGGAAGCATACAAGCTGTTTAGACTTATTGGCGCAAATTCTGGAAACCGCAAGATGGAAGTAACTCTCCAACAACACAGTCCATCTCCAATACCACAGCTCCCTATTGCAGTCAAAGAAGGAGAAGTATCTTATATTCCTTCTCATCTGAACATGACAAATCTAATCCTTGAAGCACAGCAAAGAAATCCGGAAAACTCAGCACAACATCTATCCAGCTAAGGACTGGATGGAACAAAATTTATAGGTACAGTTGTTGACCACTTCTCAAATGATGCTCAATCAGAAGAGAGACGTGAAAATTTAAGGCGCATCAAAGAACTATGTGGGAACATGAAGGGCATCAGTGAGGTTGCCGGATCTTCAAAGCGCAAGAGAAACTGAAGGTTCTTTTCATCAAAACAGGGGGAAAGTATGTGAAAACATTAATGTGTTTTGATGAAAACACCTTCTTGTTTAAACATTGCTTGATTGGTTTAAACATTGCAATATTGCTTCAACAATTTTCTTAATTGTGCTTATTATGCTTGATTATGCTTATCTCAAGTATGATTCTGAGAATTTTTTTTGAAGCGCATACATTCAGGGGGAACTTAACTAGTTTTGGCTAATAATTGTTTTGGCTATGAATTATTGATAAGCTCTAAGCAATGGAAGTCGGATATCTCAGTTTTGGTACTAAAATTGGAAATCTCCGATTCAGGTACTTTACAAAATCTGCCTTCTAAAACTAAGCTTTAATCTTTAATTCATTTCCAACTAGCTCTAAAAGTACTGGTCCTTAAGATTTCTATAATGTACAGGACTTTGGAATAATAGTACCACTTTTCTTTTAAAATTAAAATTCATATTTGTTTTGGTACTACCTCGTCCTATTTTAGAAATTAGAACTATAGGGAATGAAAAATGATAGTTTTATTTTGGGCCTTGAGAACCCAATAGGAATAATTTCCCTTTAGTACATAGCTTTCTTTTCTCTTTGGGCCACTCTTTTGGGCTTAGCCAAACTAAAACAGTTACGTTTCTCAAACCAAACGAAACTGATTTTCTAATTGGAACAGTTTCAATTCATTGGTAACTGGTAAAAGAATCCTTCCACTTTTCAACTTCTTGGAAGTTGAAACTCTTTTACTCTCACCGTTCCACCTACCCAATTAATGGAACCCGTGAACCTCCCCTCTCTCTACCTCCTCTCTTATTTAAATCAAGATATCTCAATCCATTCCTATCACAAACAGCTCTTTCAATATGAAAAGTCCTCAAACTCACTGCCTAAGAAACACACCAAGAAAAATATCCTCAATGGAGAAATGTTTCTTTCTCACCCTCATAGACGACAATGGAAGAAGCCTATTGAGAAGAAAAGACTTTCAAGGTCTATGGTGAGAATCTCGGCAGTAGAGAAGGTCTATGGTGGAAATCTCGTATTTTTCAGTATTACACCATACACCTTCTCTGGAACAACACTCTCTCTTCCAAGATCTTGTATATCCACTTTGGATATTAAAGATCTATCACAAACGCTCCAAGATGTGTTGCTTCCAAGATCTTGTATATCCACTTTGGATATTAAAGATCTATCAAACGCTCCGCCAACCGCTCCGCCAAGCAGAATCTACTGAAGCTGAAAACGGTCAATGGCGGAAGATATCACAAAATCTCAAGACAAGACTTGGTTTAGGAATTGTTGTAATTTGAATTGTATCTGTTTAAGAGTTTTTGTTAACAAGCTATATGTTATGAGAAACTAAAAAAAGTTATAAAATTAGTTCTCAGTACAGCGACCGGAACTCTTAAACACTTGTTTGTCATCATCAAAAAGGGGGAAATTGTTGGGAAAAATATTATAGATTTTGATGATGATGTATTTAGAATGTAATAGGGACTTTAGGTCTCCCCCAATATTCAATGTAATTTTTCTTTTTAGAAATATTTTTAAAACCAAGTTCTTGAGATTTCGAATAAAGTTGTGATATTTCTTTAAGCGTTTTGATGCCTGAAGACCTAATCAAATTCAGTGATATGGAAATTGGATATCTTGATCGGAAATGCCAGGGACAAGTAAGGATTTCTCAAGCAGATTAAAATCCTCTGATCCGGAAGACTACATAAGAACCGGATGTCTCGCTACAACCCGCTGAAGGCTAAGTCATCCAAATCGGAAGACTAGCGCGGATCTCTTTCTCACCCGGAAGTCTGAGAATGACACCTCCGGATTTGTCAGCTAAGAATCGGAAAACTCATCAAAGTGATAAGTCCATTTCGTTCTTATCATTTACATCATATTCTAAACGTTATTGCACGTAAATAGTATTTGATCATCATATAAAATGTGATTTTAATGGATAAAACTCTCATTTTCATTCTAGGAGTCATAAAATGGGATTCCACATGAAATCATCATAAATCATTCATTTTTGTTCAAGTATTTGAGAAAAAGGGAATAAATCATCAAAGGATCAAGATTCGGACTTGAACGAGCTTCCGGGAGGTCAAAAACAGTGTTCGGGGCCAAAACGGAGCGAAATTGGGCCAAAATCACGAAACAACCGCGAAGTCCAATGGACCAAGGCCTCCAGGCGTCCAACTTGGACGCTTGGCCAAGTTGGACGCTTGAAGTTGGACGCCTGGGCTAGATTGCAATCCAAGAAAGACACGGGGCAAAATCTGGTTGGCCGGAGCAGCTCAAGCGTCCCGATCTGCACGCTTGGACTTGGACGCTTTGACTTGGACTCCTTGGCTTCGTTCCTATAAATACAGCGTGATTCTCCCCATACACCACATCACTTTCATCCCCTCTCTCGGGATTTGAGCTTAATATTCCATTTCTAAATATTAGTTTAGCATTTTAGTAGTTTTAGAATAATTTCTAGAGGAATTCTACTCTCGGTCTATTCTGTTCCGCCTTTACGGAAGTTGTAAGTTTACTCTATTTAATAAAATGTTGTTTTAATTCATGTTTGCATAGTATGAGTTAGGGTCCGGATCTCTGGGTCCGGACTAATTTGGTTGTTTATTTTTTGATGTTAAATTAATGTTGGAATGGTTAATCTGTTGTTCTTGCCTTATCTGGTTAATTACTCTCGAAAGATTTAATTGGCCATTTATTGAGAAAATATTGTATGCCAAAAGGCTATGATATTCAACTGTCAACGGATTAAGTACAAATCTAGAAATGGATGAGTAGTAATAGAAATATCATTATTCCAATTGTTAATTTAATATGATAAAATAAATTCAAATGACGTCCAGACCCTAGGTCGAGATCTATACTTATACTATGTAAACTTAATTTATTTATTATTTTTACTCTGCCTTTTTTATAGTCGTTCCGAGAAGACTTTCATAAACCAATCCTAATCTTCGCCTAATTAGAGTAATTAAACTAATTCCCTTCGTCCACTCCTCGAGAGATACGACACTCGGAGAGAAAACTGACCCTTTATTGGGAAGGTTTACTACTCGAAAAACTACAACTGTCAAATGGCGCCGCTGCCGGGGAGTGGCACGGCATTAGTTTAATTTCTTCTGATTAGCTTGGGTGAAGATTGGTTAGAACGATCTTCTCACTTCCTTTCACCAACCACCCGTAATAATTATTATGGATAACCCTAGTAGTTATTACGGTCCGCCTTCTTTCTACCAATCACCTAACCGCCCTCCGTTTCAAACCCATCCACCTTACCACCCGCATCAGAACCCATACGATGATGACTACCAAGTCAACAATGGGTCTGACTACTATTCCTACCATGAGGAACCACCATATGATACCCCATCTGAAAACTTTGGATATTCTCCGTACCAAGACTCTGATGGGGAAGATTATTATGAACCTCATGGTGATCACGATGACTATGACCGCAATGGGCCTATATACGACGATCAAGCTGACCCGCTCATCGAAGAAATAATAAGATTAGAACAGAAAATCTTCCATTTCTACGAAGTTTTATTCGCTGAAGGCTCCTGGTATGAACCACCCTACTCCCGTGACTATACCCTGTTTGCCGAAGAACAAATTGAAGCAAACAAGGTGGCAATTCGAGAAAGAGCGAAACTTCTTGAATCAGTCCGGAAGGAAAAGGAGTTCGAAAGGAGATTATGCAAAGGATCAGATATGATGCAGAAAATGCTGGATGACTTCCAAAGAGAGAGACTAGAAGCCGAGGCTAAAGCTGATAAATTAGTCAATGATCTCTGTAAGGCTGTTGAACTTAAACGCTCCTTCCAATCTCAAGATCCACAATTGGAGGAAGTTAATGCTCAAAA